GGTGTTGAAGGCCAGGCTGGACGTGGCCTTGGGCAACCTGGGCTGGTGGGAGGTGTCCCTGCCCATGGCAGGGGGCTTGGAATGGGGTGATCTTCAAGGTCCTTTCCAACCTAAACCATTCTATGATTCTACAAAATACAGTCTGAGAGAGCAGCACGAGGTCTCAAAGCCGAAGACCTCAGTCCTTAAAAACATCCAGGCGCCCTCCGAAAGCACCGCTGGCCTCTTCTCAGCCCCTGCTGCGGCACGAAATAGTTGCACTCACTTTGCCTCTGCCCTCAGCGTCTCCGTCGGGGCGCTGGAGACGGCGCGGCAGCTGCCCTCCTTGCTGCAGCACCCAGCCTGGCGCCGCAGCGTGAGCCCCGCGCTCGCACTGGGTTTGACATCGCGTCGTCCCAGCGAGGGGCGGAGGAAGAACCGGGGCGAACAGTGAGGATGGAACACCCAAAACTCCCCCCCAGCCCCGGGTTCTCCTCCGAAGGAAGCAGCGACGCCTGCGCATCTCAGCCCGTCCACGGGCTCAAGCCCAGCAATGGGTGTCCCGGGAGGGTGGAGATCTCGTAGAGGAGCTCCAGGGCTGGACCGCTCCGCCTTGGGGCGCAAATAGCGGGGAGCTGATGCTGCATCCAGCTTCACATCCTCCCCCAGGAGCAGGAGGAGCCAGGACCAGGGTAGGGATGAGCTGAATAACCACCCAGTTTCTGGGCTTGAACTGGGGGACGGCCGTTCAGGCTGTGGTTTGTCTCCTCCCAGGCAAGGGAGGAGAAACGTAGAGCATGGCTTGATCTCGCCAGCATCCACAGCACCATTCTGGATCCGGTCCATGGTCGGGAAACATCTCTCCACCCAGCTGGGTCACCCCAGCTGCGATACGTTGAGGTTAAACCTTGAGGTTTAACCAGAAGGGAAAGCTTTGTGGCCAGCTGTCCTCAGTGAAGACAAGAGGTCCTGGAGGACCTTTCCGTGGTCCCGTGGAGAGCTGAGGTTGGCCACATCCACGTCCAACACAGCTGCGAGCTGCCCCTCACCATAGTGATGCTGTGGGGAAGGAGAAACCATCCATAAGTTGATCCATCTCGGGGGTGTCAGCGTTTGTGCCGGGGGCAGGAGTCATCCCAACCTTCCCCACCAAGGGCAAAGCCGGCTCTCGCAACGCCAACATCCCCCTCCGTCACGCAACCGGACTCTCTGATCAAACGTTCGGGCGCTGCCTGAAGGTCCGCGCGGTGCATTTCTGGGAGAAACGCTCTCACCGCCCGGCGCGAGTTCTCCAGCGTCACATTTAGAGGGAGATCCCTCCTCTGGGCGTAATCCCTTTGTGCGGCAGCTGCAAGTACTTAACGTTTTGGACATCTCCAGTCCCCCGTCCAATCTGGTTCAAGCTGGACAAGAAGGCTTAAGTTATTTTGGGGGAAAAAAAAATTTAAAAAAAAAATAAAGGGAAGTTTAGATGAGTACAAACTGTGCTATTGCTTAAGCCCCACGTCTCCAGCAAGCCGAGCAAGTTTGCTTCCCTGTCCCCTCTGCACTACCTGCCCCACCGTGACGTGGGACGGGGCCAGGGGTGGCTCTGCTGCTTCTGCTTGTCAGCTCCTCTACCATCACAGAATCACAGAATTTTCGGAGTTGGAAGGGACCTCCAGAGCTCACCCAGTCCCACTCCCCTGCTAAAGCAGGACTGCCCAGAGCACATCCCTCAGGACTGCATCCAGGCGGGTTTGGGAAACCTCCAGAGAAGGGACTCCACCCCCTCCCTCGGCAGCCTGTGCCACTGCTCACCCCAACCCTAAAGAAGTTCTTCCGTCTGTTGGATGGAACTTCCTCTGTTCCAACTTGTGCCCATTGCCCCTCGTCCTGTCCCCGGGAACCACCGAGAAGAGTCTGGCTCCATCCTCCTCCAACCCACCCTTTAGATATTTTTGAGCAATAAGAAGGTCTCCCCTCAGCCTTCTCTTCTCCAGGCTAAAGAGTCCCAGCGCTCTCAGCCTCTCCTCATACGGGAGATGCTCCAATCCCTCAGTCATCTTGGTTGCCCTTCGCTGGACTCTCTCCAGCAGTTCCCTGTCCCTCTTGAACTGGGGAGCCCAAAACTGGACACAGTATTCCAGTTGTGGCCTCACCAGTGCCGAGTAGGGAATGACCTCCCTCGACCTACTGGCCACACTCTTCCCTCTGCAGCCCAGGATTCCATTGGCCTTTTTGGCGACGAGGGCACACTGCTGGCTCATGGACAATTTACTATCTACCATGTCCCCGCAAAGGAGGCAGCGAGGAAGATGAAGCCTGGTTGCTGAGAAGGCCGCAGCGGTCATCTCTCCTCCTCAGAGCCCACCTTCTCCAGGGCTGGACCCTCACACTTGGTGGAGCCGACAGGAGCTGTGGGAGTTGGTCAAACCACCCCATGCCCAGGGGCGCTCAAAAAAGATCCCTTGAGGTCTGAGATCCTGCTTGAGGAACCCTCCGTGCCTGCGTACCCATCAGCCACACACTCTCCTTCCTGGGGGTGCACCCGGTGACAGTTAGGCCAGAAAAGCCACCTCCTGAGCTCCTGATGCTGGAGGTCTCAGTGCAGGGAAGGGCACACTGTGGTCTCCCACCGCAGGCAGGAGCACGCTCAACAGCAGAGGTAGGCTGACTGGAAAGCCAGGAGCCCTCCTAGCTGCCCCTCACTGGGGCAGAAATCCTCCCAAAACCCTGGTCAGAACCCATCTCCACAAGTTTGACATTGGCACAGCTGGACTGGTTTTGCTGGGGACCCTCCTGGGGTGGTAAGGAGGACCAAGCATTCCTTCATGAATTGTGGAATGGTTTAGGTTGGAAGGGACCTTAAAGATCATCAAATTCCAACCCCCCTGCCATGGGCAGGGCCACCTCCCCCCAGCCCAGGTTGCCCCAAGCCCCGTCCAACCTGGCCTTGAACACCTCCAGGGATGGGGCAGCCACAGCTTCTCGGGGCAACCTGCCCCAGGGGATCACCGCCCGCACAGCCAACAATTTCTTCCTCACATCTCACCTCAATCTCTCCAGTTTGAAGCTATTCCCCCTCGTCTCATCGCTACAATCACTCAGCTGCTCCTGTGCTCAAACAGGCTTTTTTCTTTACTGGTGCAGCAACTGCCGCTGCTGGTGGTGACACAGACCTATGGCTTTGGTAGGTGACAAAGCATCACACTGCTCTGATTGTTCAACCTGGAGAAGGCAAAAAGGGGGAGAGCTCAGAGCCCCTTCCAGTGCCTAAAGGGGCTCCAGGAGAGCTGGGGGGGGACTCTGGGTCAGGGACGGAGCCGTGGGACGAGGGGGGACGGTTTGACACTGACAGAGGGGAGATTTTGGGGAGAAATTGTTGGCTGTGCGGGTGGTGATCCCCTGGGGCAGGTTGCCCCGAGGAGCTGTGGCTGCCCCATCCCTGGAGGTGTTCAAGGCCAGGGGGGCAACCTGGGCTGGGGGGAGGTGGCCCTGCCCGGGGTGGGGGGGTTGGAACGAGATGATCTTCAAGGTCCTTTCCCACCCAAACCATTGTATGGTTCTATGATCGAACCCCCCAGCCTTGGGCAGGACGTGCTCCCCCCATTTCCCACACCGCCACGGAGGCGGGGACGGTTTTGCGCATGGAGGGGGAAGAACCCCCACGGCTTGTGCAGGCAGCAGCCCTGCGAGGTGAGGACCCGCGTGGAGCTTCCCCGTGATGCCGTTACGGTGCGGATGGGAGCAGGTTTCAGCCTCAGCACCCGCAGGCAAACAGCGGTTGCCATGACACAGCGCCGTTGGGTACACCGCATTCCCAGCGCCGAGGCTTCCCCGGCCGCTTCCAGCGCCCTCCCTCCCCAAGCGCAACCTTCACCCCAACTCAACCATCACGGAACCAGTCTCCGCCTGTCCTCAACCCACCTCTCACCTCAGCTCCCACCCAGAAAAAGCGAGGAAACCCCCGGAGGGACGCAGAGGGGCAGTTCCCAACCTCAGAAAGAACCATGAAAAGGCATTTAAAAGCAGGAGGGGACAGCAAGCGCCGAGCGAGAGGGGACACAGCCTGATGAGCGTTTGCACCGTCACATCCGAGCCGGCTGCTCCAGCACAAGCGACCCCCGGCGCCAGAACAAGGCAGAGCCCCCCATTTCGCAGGGCGAGCAACCCCTGCCCCGCCGCTGGGCTCTGCTCCCCGCTCCCTCCCCAGCTCCTCGGTGAAACACGGTGTTTTTCACGTTGGGAATAAGGAGCAGACAGGG